CTTTTGTTACTCCCAGGCTTCAACCTTCAAGGCCAGGAGCCTAGTTCTATTGCAAACCCTGGGCCCCTAAATCTAAAGTCATTTTCTGCATGAAGGGACTTCCCAAAGTGTGGGGGATATGTCTGTTAGCCTATGTGGATACCTGGTCAGGAAGTATGTCAGATGCCTGGGTAAGAAGCATGATTTTTAAAGGCTACAAGGTTTTGCTCTCTGCCCCCTCCCCGTTTCATGCTGACTAACATGCCTGTGTCCTCACAAACTAGCAGACTTCCATGCTGCGCTTTCATATCTCTTGAGCCAGGAGGTTTTTGCCATTGTTCCATCATCAGAAAGATTTCAGGATTTGTACTCAAACTTTTTCACTGTTCCAAAACCAAAAGGGGCATACGGTTCATCTTGATTCTGAAGGTTTTAAATGTCTTCATTGGAGTACAAAAATGTTGCATGAATCCACCAGCTCTGTTAGAGCCTCCCTCCATCAGGAAGACTTTCTAGCATCTGTGGACATCAAGGAGGGCTATATACATATCCCCATTTTTTTTTGCTGTGGGTGCACAACACTACCCATTTGTAGCCCTACCATTTGGTCTCTCGTCCGTATTCTAAGTGTTCACCAAGGTATTGGCATTCATACTAGCCTTACTATGTTCCCACATTTTTCCTATTGTGGGTAACCTGGTCGATTTCGTATTGAGGAAACAGCATAGAATCTAATTAACAAGGTTATGCAGACAGTTCAGACCTTAAAAAGGTTTGGTTGGATACTGAACCCTTAGATATGAGCGCTGAAACCCTTAGAGTATCTGGGTCCTATATGTGTCTGAAGTGAGAATTTTGTTTCCCCAAGAAAAATGTCTGACTTTCTGCTCCCGGGCTCTACAGTATAGTAGCTCTCCAACTTGCTAAGTTGCTCTCCGAACCCCAACAACGCTGATTTAGGGGGCTCAAAAGAGGACTAAAGCCGCAAAAAAAGGTTTTAATTGTCTTTTAACAAAATCTACTGGTCAAGTTCAGTCCTTGCCGCCCAGAATCCACCTGGGAGATCTCTAACAATCACTGTATCCCTCTGACATCCAAGCTCAGCTTTTTCAACTAAAATATCCCACTGAATATCCTAAATGTCCTCATAGTCCTATAGAGAAACCACTATAAAACACAAGGTACGGAAACATTTATCTACCCTCAATGTTTGATAGTAATATTAAGAGTACTCATTCAAAGTGTATTCATAATTTTAATATATTTATTTTTATATTAGTAAAACCTTTTTTTGTAGTAAAAATGAAATTATAGCTATGCACTGATACCGGCTTTTCGGTATCGAGTACGAGTACCGATATTATTATTTTTCAGTTACTCGGCGATACTGATACCGGAAGTCCCATTAAGGATCACCAGGTGATGAGGAAGCATGGAGCCGGTTTTTTGGCCAATCAGGAAGCCGGGGGTGGTTAATGACTCGCCGCCTGGCTTCCTGATTGGCCAGCTTGCCGACCAGTCAGGAAGCTGGGCCGCGAGACATTACATGTTTGGCCGGGAAGCCGGCTCCATGCTCCCTCGTCACCAGGTGAAGAGGAGCATGGAGCCGGCTTCCCATACAATCAGGAAGCTGGGTAGCATGTAATGAGTCGCCCCGGCTTCCTGATACCAAAAGTTCCGGTATCGAGATAGGAATCAGTAGCATTTGGGCGAGTACGAGTACTCACCCAAATACTCAGTATCAGCACCACTACTAGTACGGTATGGGTACATCCCTAAATATAGGTAGAAATCTTTCATATTTACTACTTGCAGTCAGCAGACAGCAGCTTTCTGCAGCTCATTTATGAAACGGACACGAATAGCAGGAAGATCATCATAGACAGACTGCAAAGTGAGGCAGACAACAATGACAAACCCTCCCCCACTCTCCTAGCTGAAACCAGACCATCTTACCTCAGTTATACGCAACATACCTCAAAGTGTACATGGAGCTCTCTTATTAGAATACACAATGTGCTAAATATATATATTACAGATGATTAAAAACAATTACATAAAAATGTAATTTATAAATATGTAGAAGTAAGCAAATTGGCCCAAAAAGTGATACTTTCCCTGTTAATGATGGAAGCTAAGCTTAGCCTGGCAAGAGTCATGTATTGTGCTGGGGGTGCGGTAGACCATACCTCAGTTTGCCTGTGGCATTTCACTTTCATTGTGTCCCAGTTTTATGCTTTACATTTCTGGCAGCTATATTACTCGGCACCATGGGTGAGGTAATGCAGAATAAAATAAATTACCTTTCCCTCAGTGGTGAAATGAAAATACTGTGTCTTGTTTCTGGGTCTCCTGAAGTATTTAGTGAAAATAAAATGCGTTATATTTATGTTAATTACTAACAGAACAGCCAAAATATAAAAATAAGCGTGTAGAGCTAAAGATAGGTAACTATGCACTGACAATACTGTGTGCATGCACTTGCAATTTTTTTTATCCATACACCTTTATTGTACGGCACCATGGCCTTTTATGACACTCTTCCATCACAGTTAACATGCATGTTTGCCAAAGTACAATAGGTTGCAGCTGCTTTGTCCACATCGTGTGCCAGCACATTTAAGTTTATGTTCTATGTAACACTTTGGAATGCTGAACCTTGAGCACAATTGTAATGACTATTGTTCTTAAATTGCCTGCATTTGAGCCAGACTATTATCTTCCACTAAAATGAACTGGATGTATCATGTACCAATTGGAATGGAAACTGATTTTGTAAAGTAACTTTCATTTTCATTTAAAATGTGTTGTGAAATGTTTTAGATAACGGGCTGGCTCCTTGGTTAGGAACAGCGTGTGTTAAATGATAAAGCAGAGGCCCTTATCATGATTTGAAGTCTAGTTTCAGTTCATTATCACATGAAATAAATCTCTTCTATGCCTATATCCCAGGTTTCAGATGTGAGCTTGCGGGGTACCTTAATGCTTAAAAATGTCGTATGGGTACTGCAGCAAAAGAATGAGGCAGGAATAATGGGAAAAGAATGAAAGATCATGGCTGTTTGTATTGTTTATGTTGCTTATGTTCCAGGTTTGTGATAACCTGTATAAAAGGCCTTCCCCTTTTATACCAGTGTCACATAATTTAATTGCAAACATAAACTTAGTAAAGAATAAGATAAGCAACATAAATACAGCCATCCAAAGGTTACCCGTGTGTATTTTACAACCTACTTTTTATCTTTGCATTCTACCACGGCCTGCAGTGGAGCATTTGACTCCTCCGACAGCAACACAATAAGGAAAAAACAGATTTCAAAATGGTTGTTTGAGTCAGTGCTGTACTTCTTAACATTCTGTGCTGGGCATTTAACCCTAAGTTACATATTTTTAAATGCAGCACCAACAAAGCCTATATTATCTTAACTTACTTTATATGCTTAAGTGTATGTTTTGAGAATGAGCAGAAACTTCACCCCAGACTCGTTTGAACTCAAAATTATATAAATTATTTAATTAATTCTCAATGTATTACACTTGGCATTACATGTACTGTATCTAACTACCAAAACATAGGTCTTCTGTGTATATGATCCTCATAATAGAAGATCTACTTTTTTAAAATTCAACCTGATTCTTTAACACAAGAACAGGAGTGGGAGGTGTAGGATACATATAAACAATATATACAGAACCCCTCTTTTGTAAATAGTTGTCACCTTAAACTCGGCATTCATAATCTGGAAGAATAGTTTTCTTTAAACAGAGAATCTTTGAATATGTGTCAAGTTACTGGCTCATCTTTATAGAGGAGACCTCATCCCTCCTGTAATAATTACATATTAAATCTCAGGAGGCGAACCTCTTAAACCCTCCCGATTCAAACTTGACTGCTATTTGGATGACTTAATGCTCCTATCTTTTACATATGGGTCAAGTAAATGCTTAAAAAGCCCTACTATACCCCCTACAAAATGGAGTATTCCATCTTCTTCATTTCTTTTTGAAGCTTCAGGGACTGATAGGCTACCTATCAAATTTTAAAATACTGTTTAAGATATATTTTTTATTCTTAGGCTTTGTTCCTTCATTCAAATGTGTCTTGCGATGGTTTATGTGGTGCTTTATCTATTTGTAAAATACTTGATCCTGTTTTACACAAAACATGGTACAGGTATTTTTTTTTTAAATGTGCAGTGATGGATGTACAAACTTAAGGATCACATTCCACCAAATGTACCCCACTTGTATGCTTGTTCTTCCTAGTTATTATCTGCTATGTTGTAAAGTGATTACTGGTGCCTTTTAACTTCTTATACTGCCCCTTTCTTTTGTTTCTGCTAATGCATCTTTATCCTTTCTTTTCTCTGCTGCCCTTCTGTCTGTCTTCTACATTTTGTATCCTTATCCTCACCACTGTCTCCCATCTCTTTAACATAACTGGACTCATATTATAATGACCGGTTCTATAAATGTTTCTGACTTTCTCCATCTCCCTTTTCTCTCTCTGCCATCTCTCTGCTGCACTTCTTCTCTCTTTTCATTCCACTGTCGATGTTTATCTCCATCCTCATTTCCTGTCTTCGTTCATCTGTCTTCCATTTTTCTTATTGCCTTTTTGCTTTTCTTGAAATCTCTGGCCCCGTCATTCTGTTTTTCTGTCTATGGGATCACCGGTAGATCCGGATTAACCGAGAAGTGAGTATTAAGCTTGTGATCCTACCCCCTACCTTCCACATCCAGGTGCATTAGTGCCTGGGATAACTGCTGGAATTTTACCTCTCTCTTGTACTAAGGCAACTAGTACCCTTTGATCAAAATACATATATTCTAATAAATCAATAACTTCCAGCTTTTTCCCCAAAACCCTGGTACTTCTGTCCTTATTTTTCTCTACGATCACCCTTTTTATTCTCTCTTTTTCCTTCCTTTTTCCTAAGCCTTTCTGTACATGATCATCTTTCATGCTTTCTCTATTTACCCAGTATTTCTCAGGAATCTCTTTTCCTCCCTTTCTTCCTCTGATAATGCTCCATATTTCATTCATCCTCATTATCCATACAAATGCATCATTCAGTCAAAGGTTAGTAATCTGGTCCAGATTACAAATTCATAATCATGTTAATAATTCAAACTTGGTATGTCATATCGCTTTTGATTTCAGCTTGATCTTTTAATTTGTCACTAACTGTTACCTAAAATATATTTTTTTTAAGGTTTCTCTTAAGAATGGCTTCCTTTCCACTTGCCATTTCACCATTAAGCTCTCATTTTTATTCTCTTTTGTCTTTATTTTATGAGTAGAGTCACATGGCACTATGTGGCCACACTAATTAAACCTGGAGTAAAAAGTGTTTACATTGCCTGTAATAAGCAGTTTGGTGGCGTAATTATTCTTTCTTTAGCACAGAAATATCTAAACGCCGACTGGTTGCTACAAGCACACTTTTTGCTATTCATTCTTTTCATAAATCTTTTTTTTTGCCTGTAAACAGGATTAGCACTGATTACATTTGGAACAACTATGCTCTATGAGCAATAATTACATTGCACAGGCTAATAGAGCTCTAAGCCCTGATTGCAGTATGTATCCATGTGACACTACCCCAAATCTTGGTTTTTAAAACTTGTTTGAGTCCTGTAAAGGTTGTGGTGTAAGTGTTATGTGAAAAGCACACAACATTTGTCTGTCCCCCCTGAGCCTATTCCCCTACCTGTCCTCTTTGTGGGATCACAGTGCTTGCTGAAATGCATGGTGGGATTTTTGGACAAACTGGAAGGTAGCACTTTATTATTCATATTTCCTTTGTTTTTCTTTTATTTGTAGGGTTATCACAGATCAAACCACTTCATTGCTACACAAGGTGGGTGGTTATGGTAAAATCAGCACTTCTATTTTATTGCTGCTAATGTTGGTAACAAACTTCCTTAATTACAAACTTTTGTGAGATAACTAGTATTTTATACAACATAACAACGGCAAATTATATAAAAAATGCATTCAAAGACTTAAATATGTTTTATAAATGTATTGAATGCATATGGCCTCCATGGGCAGGCACAACGCATGCTACAAATTCCTGTTTAGCTCTAATTGATCTCATACTTTGTGCTTCTCTCTGTAGCAGCATATAAAACAAATGGAGTATGTGGCATAGCTAATAATATTTGAGTGGGAACGTCAACATTGCCCAGTATTCATTTGTAATCAGAGATTCATCAATGATGCATGATAAAGCACCTATTACATGTAATCAGCTCTAGAAATGCATAATTGCTGTCTGATTACTGATCCACTGCAGGTCCCAAGCAAGACATGATCTATGATTTTTGGAGGATGGTCTGGCAAGAACACTGCTCAAGTATAGTGATGATCACCAAGCTGGTGGAAGTTGGAAGGGTATGTATGATCCTGATTACTATATATGTTGTATGTTTGAAGGAAGTACATGATGAAAATTATGATGGCTAGCTGCTTGGCCTATATTAGTGTAAATACCCAGAGATAGATGTTCTTGATGTTGTATACTCTATATATAGTGTTGAGTGCAAAAGATATTCCATTCCATTTTTTCTTGAGGTTGCAAAATACTACAAAATACATTTATGAACAGCCCACCAGCCCTGGAGAAATATGTTGATTAAGGCTTATTACCCTGAGCTCTCAGATTTCTTACACAACTTTTACATTCCTCCTTGATTTTCTATCAATTTTACCTGTGCTTAAAAATGAGCAGTTACATGGTGCTGGAGTTTAGGCTATACCGTTGAGTTTTTCTTAAGATATGAAATCCCACTTGTGCAACCTTTTCTTTATTTATGGTACTAAAGAGAACATGTTTTGTTTATGTGCTACATGTTGTTGTGTTTATCTGAACTTGATGCTGTAGTTCTTAATATACTTGCAATGCAACTATGTTCTTCTTTTGGGCTTGTGTGGATGGACCTTTGTTCTTAGCTGGTTGTTTGCATTTGTGATGGGGGTTGAATGCAGTCTGACTTGGATCATATGGAGGATCAGCATGGAGCAATGTGAATGCAGGGTAAATGCAAGATAAACCTATCATAAAGGTATTTCAGAAGCTAAGAGCCTGATGCCTTTGAATGCTCACTCATGCAGATATAAGAATGGGCTAGATTGTATTTTCAATTTTTTTGTGGAAGGGGCAGCAGTGGTAGGCTAGTAGTGGCTGCTTGGGATACTTGGTTGCATCATTGAACCTTGGGATTGGTGTTGTCACTTCTTGGTCGCAGACCTGTTTGTAGTTGCCACTGCTGATACACTGATTGTCTGCTTGCTATCTGTCACTTTAAATGTTTATACATAACAATTAACTTTTAACAGCTTATTTTGTGTAAAGTGAATCTGTTGGTATTAATTTGTGAAACATGCATCTGCTTAGTTGTAGGGTCCACAGATGTAATCCTCATCCTTTACTACCTAGTAAATCAGTGACCTGGAACAAGCATGGCCATATCAGGTGTCCCAACATCTTCTATGCACAAACTTGTTTCAGGTCAATGATTCATAAAGTAGTGAGTAAAGGATGCATATGTCAGCCCTAAGGCTCTCTTATATTTTACACTGAAATTTTTTAAAGGTACACCTGGCAAAAGAGAAGCAGGGAGACTGCCATTGCTGAGTTCTTTCTGGAAATTGCAGTTATTCTGACTTAATGGCTTCAGTGCTTTGAGTTTCTCATGAAGACATGTACACAGATTAGGCAGCTTGGAGAGAAGTATTTTACTTGTTCCATGTTAGTGACTCACAATATTAAAATGTATGTGTAGCCATTTTTTTTAGTTCTGGATAGAGTAGTGAAGGGTTAAAACCCCTACTTGTTTATATTTTCCTATTTGTGTATGATTTGGGAAGTTTCCCATCACCTCATGAGGTTGGTTTATTAGAAAGGCAGAGATACTGTCCACTTTGTAAGGGAAATTGCACTGTTCAAGGGAATAGTGAATGCGTATTGAACAATGTAAAGCTTTGCTGACTTCCATCATCCAATCATTATTTTCCTTGCATGTGATTTGGGTATTCTTTGCAAAGTGAATTTTCACCAAATTGTCTAAGCTAAGGGAATATTACCAATGCAAAGTGCAAATTCCCTTGGAAAGTGAACAGCCTTTTTGCTTTAGTAAATCAACCCCTATGTCCCAGAAATGCAACAAAGTGGGGGGAATTTTCTTCTTAGTTGTCCCAAGAACAGTTGTCTCCATTGGAAGATTACCCAATACCTATTGCCCTGGGGACAATAAAGAGGTTATTCACAAAGGAGCCGAAGGATCCAACCGTAGCTTTGGCTGATCCTTCGGCTCTCTTCGGCCCCCGGAGCCCTTCAATTCAGTAGAACTGAAGGACTGCTGTACGGGCTGTTCACTAGAGCTCGTACTGCAGCCGACGGCGGCCGAGCAGCTCAGCGGAGCTGAAGGCATATGCTTCAGCTCGACTGAGCCGAAGTGATACCTGAAGCTGGGCGAACGACTGGCTCCGCCAGTTGTAATGACAGATCAGTGTCCCCAAATCACCTGGGGACGCTGAACAGTAATTAAACAATAACAACTGGGCGTCACGGCCGGCTCCGCCCAGTTGTTATTCATTGGCCAGGACCTGCTAGAAGTCTCTAGCAGGTGCCGGCCAATAGGAAACAGTTGGGCGTAGCTAACTGTCACTGCTAGCTCTGCCCAATTTTATTTTTTTATTGAAAAAAAAATCTTTATTCAGGTTTTAATTTTTACATTTATTTACATTTTTCAATTTATTTTTTCAACTTTTTTTTTTTACTATTCTCATTGATTTGCTATTCTGGTCGGTACCACCCCGGAGTAACCCCGTAAAACTTTGGATTTCTCTCCATTCTTCTTATCAATGACAACGGTAGTCAGTACAAATAGAGGACACAGACACCAATAAAAACTTGACACAATCTAATACTCCCCATTCCCCCCCCAAAAAAAGGCCAGGGATACACTTTAAAGTCAGGGAAACAGTACGGCAGCCAGGCACCTAGAATCTTTAGAAAGAGAGGTCAGAATTGTATCTGTCGTGGCAGCTTTATTTAAAATAAGTGTTGTGAGCTGAAATTGCTAGATTCCTGTTTTCACAAATATTAGAAGTTTGCCTGTGGCTAAGAAATAACTCAGCAGACTGATGGTTAACTCCTTTGATAGAGAAATCCACAGATCCATGTTTAATCTTTCCCAGCTGAGGGAGACTAGCAGTACATTGATTAAGCCCATTTCTTGAATGCATAATGTGTTGGCTCTGCAGCTATGGGAAGGAGTGACATAAAGGTAGATTATGAATGGGATAATCATATATAGACAAAAAGGAGGAAAAACAGAACCCAGCAGATGTTTGATATTTCTCACATATTTATATTCATACGAATATGGCTTATGCCACGTAGACGTGAAGTTGCAAGGAGAAATAGCAGTTGTTGCTCTGAACTGGATGCTCCTCTGCATGGCTAATATGATTAGTATTGTCGCCGTGTTGCTCTGACGGGTAATTAAGAACAATGTTCCTTACATCAGATCATTTTTTAAATTGTGTTTTCTCGTAAATCTCCATTAACTGTAATGATTTTGTTTGGTCTCTGCTGGTCTAATTTTCCCTTCTCATTAGCAGTCTTCCTTCAGCGCCCTCCCAAACATTGCTGACGTGAAGGCGATGTAATTAGTTTACTCTCTTTATCACTGTGTGTCTTGTATTGCATCCATCACACAGTCGTAGGCTTAACACACTTCATGAACCATACTTCCCCTTCTGCTTGCCTGGATGGACTCCATGTGCCATCTAAGCATTTTTCTCATGCCTTTTTATCATCTTCCTGGAGAAAAATATGCTCCATTCAAAGTACATTATTTTTGTTGTTAGCGCTCTGAGAAGAAGCAATACATTCATGTTAGCCTGCAGGGGGGTACAGACATATTGTCCCTTCCTTCTATCTGTCTTTGTCATTGGGTCTTGCTTATCTCTTAAGTTCTTCAGGCTGTGCAAGTCTAACTGGTGCATAATGTGGGCAGATTTTTTTTATCATGGTAAATTACATTCTTACTCAACGTCCTGCTGAGGCTGAAAATGCAAACGCTGGGAAAGATGGTGGCATAGGCTTTTTAAGTTACCTGTTTTGCACTGCCCATGGCCAACTCAAATTTTGCAGATCAGTTTGTGTCTCAGAAATCACACCTGTATTTTAATATATTGGGGCCCTTTGAAGTGAACAAAGTTTCTGTAGTCTGACAAAAAAAATAATATGACAAATGTAAAAAGGAACTATAATGGATTTTAGTCAGTTTTATTTTGTTTTTAAGCTTATAAGATATAAACCAACGTTTATTTTTTATACTATTTATAGAAAATTGTTATTTACATAGAAAGATGTATAAGATACATGAGCTAATGACACTATATTCATGGAACATTACAGGATTTAAAGAGAGGGTGCAGCATAAGCTGTTTGCCTATCTTTGAGTGTCTATACATTGGCACCATCTGGACATAGTGGGCTGGGAGGGGATGATTATATTTCTTTTTTAAGCTTGGGCTATTGAGTGCTGTACACAATATATAATATAATATATATATATATACACTGAGTGGCCAGATTATTATGACCACCTAAGTAGCAAATAAGAAAGTTAAATCTGGAAAATGAATATGCCACATTTCATTTAGCTGAATTAAACAACAACAAAAAAATGAATTTGTTGTTTTAAACATTGTAAATAAAAGTTAAAATGTGAAATGCTATACATTTTATTATTATTTATAAGTATTCCACTTTCTAAGGTTTCATGTATTAAGATTAGACCATGAGTACAAACATGGGAGCTTGAATGTATTTTTCTGTCTGTAAACCTTTACATCTGACACCCTACACAGGTAAAGTGCAGCAAGTATTGGCCAGATACCACGGAAACATATGGAGATATTCGCATAACTTTACTCAACACAGAAACATTGTCAGAGTATACAGTGAGGACACTTGCTCTGGAACGGGTAAGAGATGAAGTCAGAAGTGGGATTGTGAACAATACAATTCAGCATTCATCATTAAGTGCCTTTTTGCTGGTTTATTGAATGTCAAACATTCACTAGACACTTAAGAGAATTCTATGCACCAGCAAATTCTCAGCATGCAAAGAATTCAATTGTTTGGTATTTGGGCATTAAAGTTGTCTGTTTACGGCACATTTTCAGGTTGAAGATCACAAATTCTCTTCTAAAAAATATATTCAGTGCACTTGGTAGAATGCCTGTGTTGCTTTGTTACTAGCTTTTAGGATATGTCTTTACTGCGATGTGTGTTATTTTATTGAATCTGCTGAATGTGTACTTGAAACTTGAACAGCATGGAAGGTTTAGAACCTCTGTAAGGCTTTTATTGCCACTTGTTTCCCTGCTAGGAAGATTCACCCTCTGTATGTGACCTGGTGACTATTGCCATTGGCACTGAAAGTGAGTGAAAATCCAAATTTTTGAGCTGTCTTGAGAACAGGAATAGAAATCTTCCAATGTGGATATACTTGTTCTAGTTGCATCTGTCCAAGAGGGGATATACATCTGGAGAGATTTCCTATCACTTCCTGTTGAGTCTGCAGGACAGGAAGTGAAGGAAATCTCTGAGAATGGAAAATAGATGGCAAAAATATGACAGTTTTTTACTTTAGATATACTTTAAGAAATTCATTAAGTAAATTAAATGGCAAAAAATTCAGCCCACAGTCATGTCCATTTGGGTACCTCGGACATTTACAGATGTCCAAGGTACCCACTCCCTTTTATTTTACCCACTATTACCCTTTTGTTTTACTCACACCTGTAGCAAGTCCTCTCCTTTGTTGAAACTGATTATTCTCAATTCCCTGCAAACGTGCATCCCCAGAATATAACTTGCAGCAGGTATCTTGAGCCAGCCTTCATTTCCTATCTGAAGGACCTCCATCGTTTATTAACCACTTATCCCTCAGATCTCTACTGTCATTGACCACCCCTCCACACGCGCACACACACGGCTATTAGTTTTTCTGCTATCTGTCATTTTGTTCCTGAGCTTTATGTGAACGATCACCGGTATCCCTCCCTGCATACCTACAACCAACCAGCAGAATGCGCAGCTTAGGCACCCACTGGTCAGCAGGGAGAAGCAAGAACATCTAAGGGGATCCCGGGATGTATTCTTTCACATAATTCTTTTGAAAAAGAACTGGGTAAAAAAGCTGTGACTTTACTGGAGCCTGCTGGCCCCCTTTTCCAAACCTGAAGCAAAGAGCAGCAGACAGTCCATGTGATACCATCACTTGGTCTCAAAACGAAATGAATTGATGCGTTTTAATGCCATGTTTATCAGGGAGGAGGAGTGAACAAGGGCCAAGTATTATATGCAAGGCCTACATTTCAGCTTTAATCAGGGCACTTGCAAGCTCTACCAGGAAGGATTACTAGCACTTCTACTACCGCACCCACTGAAAATGACAATGGAGAAAGAAGGCCAATGGCACCTATGCCTATTCTGTTAATATAGATTCATCCTTGGTTATGCATAACTTTCAATATGTTTATTTGTTTAGAATTATTTTCCATGTAAAGTACATGCATGCTAAGGAATGTGCTAATGAAATAATTAGATGCATTTATTAGCTAAAACAGAAATTACAGAAATCCCTGACAATACTTTCATCTTTCTGTCTCCCTGAAAGTTCAGGGGCATCTTTGTTCGAGGATCATCCAGGGTCAACATCTACTTCCTGGACAGAGATGACGCAATTCTAAAAAAAATTCTAGTGCTTTTGCAATAGTCTGTATGTTCTTGGCTGTGCATACACATGTGGTGTCTGCTGTCTTTCACCCTGTAAACTGCCAGAATGTTAAAATGTTAAAACAAACGTACAGCTAGTGATCCCTCGAAGGAGGGAGACGTAGAAAATGCTTCCTCTTGCCTGCAGTAGATGACATGATTCTCCCAAGATGATCCTGCCAGGCCAGGGTCACTTAAATGAAGTTCAGGAATTCAAGATTTGTTTACACTGTTGCTATATAATATCAGAATTATGTTAATGCAGACTTCTATAATTACTGATAGATTCACTTGAAGCTTGTTTAATGATATTTTGTTTCTTATACGTCTCTATAGTTGATTGGAATATTTTGCATTGGATTGTGTGCCTCAAATAAGTAATTTTTGTAAAAAGCAACAGGATAGGACTCACCTCCTAAATTATACATAAGTATGGGGATAGGGTACTTGATTTGATATTGTGGAGAGAGAAAATGATCACACTACATATTTGTTTTGTAGGCAGCTCCATTCTTACCTTAGTTGAGTCATCACTAATCTTGTCTGCAAATTGGATGTTCCCTGTCAGGTACTAATTTTCCTGATAAATGATAGAGACCAACACACCTGTTTTTCCTTTCTCTAGCGTGGTTATACTGCCAGACATGAAGTAAAGCAGTTCCACTTCCTCTCATGGCCAGAACACGGTGTACCATTTCATGCCACAGGGTTGCTTGCCTTCATCCGAAGAGTCAAGTCCTCCACACCCCCTGATGCTGGACCTGTTGTTGTACATTGCAGGTCAGTAATAGCATGTGCACTGTTATCCTAAGGTGTTTCACATTTTTTCAATGTGTGGCTTTACCTTAAATCCAATTTTCCGTACAGTGCAGGAGCTGGAAGGACAGGCTGCTACATCGTCCTGGATGTAATGCTGGACATGGCGGAATGTGAAGGGGTTGTGGATATTTATAACTGTGTCAAAACACTTTGCTCTCGACGTATAAACATGGTTCAAACACAGGTAATATAGCTGGTTATGGTCAATGGGATAGAAGGGTAAAGCACTGACATTGGAGAAAAAATACTAAAAAGCAAAGAGGTTTAATTATAAATGTTCTGCCTGGCGCATAGCTGGTTGGATGCCATTCCCATGGCACTAGTGCCCCATAGATGGAGCTGACAAGTGTAGGAATTTCACCAGCTAGTGCTGTGCAAATGGTATCTCCCTAGCTATACGCCATGCAGAACTTTTATAAATGAACCCCAAAATGTTTGCCAACAATTAAATGCATGCATTTCGATTGATCCAGGAGCAGTATGTTTTTATCCATGATGCAATCCTGGAGGCCTGCCTTTGCGGTGATACAGCGATACCAATTTGTGACTTCAAACAAACATACAAGGAGATGCTGCAGATAGACACACAGAGCAATTCGACACACCTGCGGGACGAATTCCAGGTACTGTACAATTCCAAACCAATGCAATTTTATGTTTTTATGGTTGTACGTCATTTATGTTGCATTAAACAACTTTTCTGTTTAATGAACTAGTGGTTGCCATTATTGGTATTTAAACTGGTTTTTAAACGCTTAGAGTCCTTTCAGTTGGGTGATCTGATCGGATCCACCTGACAGTTTTTCAGGTGGGCCTGTTCGGAAGCCCAATGTTAGTCTGTGGGCAGGCGGATCTAAACAGATGTGCATCCAGTGACTCTATCCAGGTCCAGAGAATCAAATGGAACAGAGTTCCGTTTTGGCAGACCTGATCATGATGGATTGGGGGTAATCTGCTGTAAACAAACACATGTCTGCTTACATATGACTCCACGTAGACCTAACATGGGTCTGGTAAGTTCAGTTTTTTTCTTACAATGGAAGAAAAAACTGGTACAGACATGAATGTCACAATAGTGACATCCGTTCAGAACTGCTCTGATCAGCAGAGGATGTGTACGGATCCCCTGCAGATTGGAACTGACAGGCGTGTGTGAAATGGGCTTTGATCATACTCAGTCCTGTATCAAAGTAAAAATTTCCCAAATAAGCAAAAATATTATGTCTATGTAGCTACTGTTTGACTTTGTCCAGAAGATTAAGTCAGGGCAGATAAACATACTGTTGAGATTGGCCACAGTTTTATTTATCAGTAGCTGCAGATGAGTCCGGAGAGAGTCCTTATCAGCCTGAGTAACAGGTTCACTTTTACACAAGGCACTGTATGCTGTGAGTACTTACCTTCCACTGTCATCACAGTTTGCCTCCCCACAATGCTTTGCCTGGGCATTTTGTTGCCAGGCTGTAAATACTATTTGCAGTGCCTCCAATAAAGTTAACCTTAGAATGGACAAAGTACAGGCTCATTAACCTTAGTCCGCATTTCTTTAAAACGAGAAAAAGGCTGAAAAGCCTACAGTCTATACTCTTACGCATTGTACCAATATCTTTTTTTTATTGCAGACCCTTAATTCAGTGACTGCACAACTTGGTGTTGAAGAATGCAGTGTTGCTTTGTTACCGCACAACAGAGATAAAAACCGCAGTATGGATGTATTACCGCCAGATCGCTCTCTTCCCTTACTCCTGTCTGCTCATGGAGAGGACACCAGCAATTACATTAATGCTGCCCTTACCGATGTACGTATCTATTACAAAGTACCACTTTAACAGAAATTTTCTGTCCCCATCTGAAGTCCTTTATCGTATTTTTTTCTGAATCTAGCCTTTAAAAGGAGATTGTAGTGTGTTTTCAGCAAGCCTACATTATATATCATTATTGTAAAGCTTACCTGAAAGCAATTTTGAATGTGATTTTCACATTTTTTTATTTCCTCAATAGGCTATATTTTCATGATGGCATTTTATATAGAGAAGTTGTGGATTCTTGCTCTTGCAGCAATCTGTAGGTCAGACAGTGCAAGTCAGCAAGGTTTCTGAACAACTGCTGTGAGAAAAAAAAAAATTCCATACAGAATAAGACACCTAGGGAATTGTTTTCTGGGAATCATTTGGAGTCTAGGCTGACTGAGAGAAACTGGACATAGAGAACAGTAATGCAGTACTATCCAGGGAGCACAGCAGGTATATATGACAAGAAAAAAGCCCCCCCCCCCCCCCCCCCGCCCCACAACAAACGGAGCCGGC